TTTAGTGAAAGAGAAGTTGGCTAAGCACTTAGAGCTGGCCACCTTGTCCAAAAAACCTTTTATCGTCAAGAAAGGAAATGCCTATGCCTGCATAGGTACAGATAAATTCAAATTTTTGGACATCACCAATTTCCTGAGCCCGGGAGTGTCTTTGGACAAATTTATGAAAGCATACGGGGCCAATCTGACCAAATCGTATTTCCCCTATGAATTTTTGGATTCATATGATAAATTGGCCTACCCAAATCTCCCACCTTACGAGACATTTTTTTCTTCTATGAAAAACAAAAATGTGCTTGAGACAAGGGAATATGATGAATATTCCCAATATTTACAGCAGGGTGTCCCTAGTTCGAATATTTTAGAAAAAATGAAATTGAAAGAAGTCCCCAAATCAGGTAGGCAAAATTGGGATGAATTAAATAGTTTGTGGGAGCGAAATAATTGGAAAAGTCTCAAAGATCTTTTGATCTATTATAACAATTTGGACACCTTGCCCTTCACACAGAGTATTGTGACATTTTTGAAGTTTTACGTTGGGGAGGGTATAGATGTTTTTAAAGTTGCCATTAGTGCTCCCGGGGTATCTCGTATCCTAGGAATGAAAACATTGAGTGAAGGAACATACTTCAGTCTTTTCAATCGAAAAGACAAATCGCTATACTTTAAACTGAAAAATTCCATGGTGGGTGGACCTTCTCTGGTTTTTAGGAGGAGCCATAAAGCTGGTTCATCCTATATTAGAAATGGCAAAAAGCAGTGTCAATCTATCAAGGGGTATGATGCGAACGCCCTCTATCTTTGGGCATTCAAACAAAATTTACCAACACAATGGTATTCTTGGCGTAGTCGGGATAATGATTTTAAAATTCAAAGACGCGATCATTATTTGAAAGAAATTCAATGGTTGGAATGGCTTATGCATTCAAATCCTCAAGCGAACACCATTCAACACAAGATGAATGGAGGGCAAAAATTTATTCCTCCCTATCACGTGGATGGTTTCCAAATAGCGTATCCAAAGAACGTTATTTTTGAATTTCTCGGTTGTTGGGCTCATGGGCATACATGCAATTTGACAAAATCGTGCGGGGAAGAATGGCAAAAATCAGCCTCTGAAAAGGCGGATCATACTTCCAAAAGAATAGACCATTTGATTTCCCTTGGTTACGAAGTCAAAACAATCAGGGAATGTGATTTTGACAATCAATGCAGGGCAGACAAAGATTTGAAACAATTTATCAATTCCAAATTCAAACGACCTTGCGACAAATACTACAAAATGAACGAAGAACAAATTTTGGATAATATCAAGAATGGTCAACTTTTTGGGGCGGTTGAATGTGACATTCATGTGCCAGATCATTTAACTTCAAAATTTAGTGAAATGTGTCCTCTGTTCTGCACCATGGACATTGAAATGAACGACATCGGTGACCATATGCAAGAGCATATGCAAAATGCTGGCATATCCGCGAAGCCCAGAAGATTACTCGTTGCTGGGCTAAAAGCAGAGAAGTTAACCATTGCTTCCCCCTTACTAAAATGGTATCTGGACCACGGACTTGTTGTGACTAAAATATACACGGTCATTGAATATACTCCAAATGCCTGTTTCACTGACTTCGTCGACTTGGTGACAGGTAAGAGACGAGAAGGTGACATTAACCCCGACCTCTCTATCTTATCAGACACGTTTAAGCTCTGGGGAAATTCATTTTACGGGTCAATGATCATGGATCGTACAAAACATTGCAGTATTCAATATATTCTAGGGAAATACAGAGCAATGACCAAGGCAAATGATAAGAGATTTAGAAAATTGACAGAATTACCGGACGACCTCTTTGAATTTGAATTGGCTAAGAACAAAATTACCTTGGACCTACCTGTACAAATCGGATTTTTCATTCTGGCCTACGCCAAATTGCGCATGCTCTCTTTCTATTATGACTGCCTGGACAAGTACATTGCTAGAGAGGATTTTGAGCTTGTTCAAATGGACACGGACAGTTATTACTTAGCCTTAAGCGCCCCTGAATTGACTGATCTCATAAAACCTGATATGAAGGCTGATTTTGAGAAGGAGAAGGACTCATGGTTTCCCCGAACAGACACTGAGGCTAATGCCTTGTACTTTAAACGCGAGCCGGGCCTCTTTAAATTAGAGGCAGAGGGCACTGAAATCGTCGCCCTCAATTCCAAAACATACTGTATTTTTGACCACAAAAATGAATCTTCAAAATTTTCGTGCAAAGGGGTTAACAAAGCACAATTTTTCAATCCAATCGGAAAGTATAGGGAGGTACTTGACTCTCGTGAAACTGTTTCTGGCACAAATAAGTCCTTTCGTATGAGAGGCAACACCATGTATACACACTCACAAAACAAGTCTGCTTTTACATATTTCTACTGCAAACGGATTGTTGCTGATGATGGCATTTCCACCTCCCCTTTGCCTATCACATTATCCCCTTCCCAAGAAAACGCTGATTGAATTTTCCCCATGTAGAGTTATATTGACACATACCTCACATTAGTCAGTCAGTCACTGATCATTGCTGTTGTGAAATTTGTATATTTCACAAGTCATTCTTATGTTCAATGTATGTAAATATTGTATGTGTCATGTGATTTTATATAATAAATTTGTTGTATATTCTATATTTTGATTTGTGTTGAGTTCTTGCGATCAACAAACATTTCATAATCTCACATCACACTTGTATTCATCTATTAAATAAGGTAGACATGGGAAACCGATCTCAGTTCTTAACTTTGTATTGATAAGACATGATGGCAAATGCTAAATTGAGCAAGTTAACGTCAAGCGCTAATAGTAAGCTAAAAAGCTTATCAAAAAAGAATAAAAAGTTTATCAAAACCCTATATTACGACGTATCTTCACCCGGGTCGTATACAAGTGTCAACAAGCTATGGCCTATGGTTAAGGATCGTGGTATATCAAGATCGCAGTTGAAAGAATGGGTCCAGAGCCAAGATAGTTATAGTTTATTCAAATCACTAAAACGTAGGTTTAAACGACGGCGTGTGATAGTCAGCTCGATAGATGAACAATGGGACATAGATACCCTGATTATGGATAGTAAAAAGTTTGCGAAACATAATTCAAATTATAGGTAGGTTACATACTGCAAGACAAACTTTTGAATTTAATTTACAAATTCATTGGTACGCATCGTATTAACTCAAAAAATGATCTTTATTTTATCAAAGGTATCTTGCTGTTATGATTGATACATTGTCCAAGTATCTTTGGGTTGAACCCTTAAAAACCAAGTCAGGCGCTGAAATGGTTGAAGCATTGAAACGTGTCTTTGCTAAGGGAAGAAAACCATCACGTCTCAGAAGCGACATGGGGACTGAGTATATTGGAAAACTGGTACAAAAGTACTTGAGAGATGTGAATGTATGGCATTTCACGACTAAGTCAGATGTTAAGGTATAACCATTAGATTGTAGTGTACAAATTTCAAGTTTTCGTGTTTTGTTTCAATGAAAGATTTGAGAAAAAATAATTTAAACTCATTTTATTTTAGGCAAATTTTGCCGAGAGAGTCATACGAACGCTAAAGTCAAAGATTTATAAGTATCTTTACCAGACCAACAGTTACAGATACATCGATGTGCTTCCTCAATTGGTAGATTCCTACAATCATACATTTCATCGATCTATTCGAATGAAACCAGCAGATGTAACAGTGGAGAATCAGCATTTGGTATGGGAGACATTGTATCTTCGTGGTAAAAATAAATTACAAACCGGGAAACCAAAGTTCAAATTTAACATTGGTGATCAGGTACGATTGACTGTTACTAAAGGTCTATTCAGTAGAGGTTATGATCAACTCTGGTCAGATGAAATATTCCAAATAAAAGATAGAAAGCCCACACATCCTCCAGTGTACATACTGGAAGACTTAAACAAAGAGGAGCTCAGAGGTTCTGTTTACGAAGATGAAATGCAGAAAGTGAAACGTGATCCAGATGAGCCTTTCAAAATAGAAAAAATAGTTTCGAAACGTCGGGTAGGTCGTAAAAAGATGGTCGAAGTGAAATGGATGGGCTACCCCTCGAGCTTCAATACGTTCATCAATGAAAAAGAACTAAAGAATATATAGCTGTGTAATGTTACTCGAATATTTACTCTGATCTGTGTTGTCAAGATGACCACATCTCAGGAGAGGAATACTATAATTCCATTAGTTGATTGTTCAAGTTGTTTTGCTGGCCAAAGTGGATCGGGCAAGACGAGTCTAGTTTTTGAAATTTTGAAACATTTAGATGGGATGTTTGACACGTCGCCTAAGAGAATTTTATACTGTTACGCTATTTATCAACCGCTTTACAGTGATATGGAGAGGCAAGTGAAGAATATTCAAATGCAACAAGGTCTTCCCTCCTTGAGAGATATCGAAGAGTTATCATCAAATGGGGTACATAATCTCATTATTTTAGATGATTTAATTCACCTCATTAAAGATAGTAAAGAAGTGGAACTACTGTTGACTCAGGGATGTCATCATAGAAAACTAAGTCTATTTTACCTTAGTCAAAATCTGTTGATACAGGGTAAAAATGCTAGAACAATTTCCCTAAATACAAACTACGTTGTACTCTTCCGTAGCTGGAGGGATTCCCAGCAAATTGCGTGTTTTGCTAAACAGTTGATGCCAGGGAAAGTAAAAGCTTTCATGAGTGCCTATCACGATGCTACTAAATCACCCTATTCTTATCTGATGATTGACATGTCACCCCATTGCAAGGATGAACGTTTTAGATTGAGGTCTAGAGTACTACCTGGTGAAGACACAATACTATACGAAATAGTATAAAACACTTTAACTGTTACAATTTCCTTCAGTTGACACTGTACTGTAGGTGTGTTATAACATGTATCGTAAAAGTGTGATTATTCCTTGGGAGAGGTATCAACGACTCCTTAGACCTGATTCATCATACAAGGGTGATCATGAAACAATGTATGGAGGAGCTGCTGGTAATGACAGTGGAAAAAGTGAACTTATTACAAATATGGATACTAAGATTAATGAACCTAAAGATCAAAAGCTACTTGAAGATGCGATAGTTTCAACATTACCCGAAAAATGGAAATCGAAGGGTAGATCATTACTAGACTTCATTCAAAGAGCTAATTCTACAGTATTGACTTGGAACCAAGCTGGAGAAGTTAATGTGAATGGAGAGACAATTCAGAATTCACACATCAGTGACTTGGTGAAAGAAGTCATTTACCCATTCACTGATTTCAGCCCAGTTGGTCTTGAACAATTCAAAATTGCATTAAGAAAAATTAATGTTCCGAGGAGTCTTCTAAAGAAAAGTTTTAGATCAGAAAGTACTGATATGAGTGCAGACAAACACCCCAAGCGATCGTTAATGACTCCCCCTGGTATTCCAGTGAAAAACAAGGGAATGACGAAGAAATCAAAGGGAAATTTTAATCAAACTCGGGATTTATTTACAAAAACACCTAAAGTAAAATGGTCAACCATGTAATGCTATAAATACAAGAGTACATTTATAAACTGATCATATTGCAAGTGGTGTTCAAGATGAGTAAAGTGATCAAAAGACATTATCATTTTATTTCACTGCTAGCGGCTGAGGATACGATGAAGCGTCAGCAGAGAGCATTATTGAAAACCGCTTCAGATGATCAGATCAAGGCCATTGCTGAAGTAATACTGAATGTTCTTACTGGAAATTTGTCGATGTCAACTGCGCAAAAACAAAAGCTGATACCATTCCGTACAACTTATGAAATGTTGACTGACAAGGATGTTCCCATGGGAAGGAAGAGGCTGAGGTTACAAAGAAATGGAAGAGCTGTCATTTTAGTGTTGAGAATGATGCATTCAAAACTGAAGATAATTCTTGAAGAACTCTAGATGTCTCAACATTTATCGAAAAAACAATGAAAGAACTGTAAATAACATAATATTAAAACTGTCAGTTGTGTATTTCTCTGTACAGATGAAAATATAATTTGTGTGTGAATAATAAAATTAGAAAAACAACAATGTTTTGTTATTTATGTAGTAGATGAGTATAGTGAATATAGGTAATATTCATAGGGGATATATAAGATATAGAGAATATAGGAAATATAGAGAATATAGGGGATATAGAGGATATAGGGGATATAGAGAATATAGGGGATATAGGGGACATAGAGGATATAGGGGACATAGGGGATATAGGGGACATAGAGGATATAGGGATATAGGGGATAAAGAGGATATAGGGGACATAGAGAATATAGGGGATATAGAGGATATAGAGGATATTGAAGATATAGGGGACATAGAGAATATAGGGGATATAGAGGATATAGGGGATATAGAGAATATAGGGGATATAGGGGACATAGAGGATATAGGGGACATAGGGGATATAGGGGACATAGAGGATATAGGGATATAGGGGATATAGAGGATATAGGGGATATAGAGGATATAGAGGATATAGGGAATATAGAGGATATAGCGGATATAGAGGATAGAGGATATAGGGGATATAGCGAATATAGGGGATATAGGGAATATAGAGGATATAGGGGATATAGTGGATATAGGAGATATAGAGGATATAGGTAATAAAAAGACTGAATATTTTGTCTTTTGGTAGTCTTCAACAAAATCCATAAGAGAAAACACAACACCTATTCTAAAGTTTTATTTATTTTTATTTCATTTTTCACCACGCTCAATACTACAGGAAAACTTTGTACATATTTACACATCTATTTCATATATTTTAGGTTTTAAATTTCAAATTCAAAGAAAGAGGTTTGATCAATTGTCTTATTCTGTACACTACATATTTGTCATTACAAAATTTGTTTCTTCCAAAGTCCTTAATGATTGAATCGAATGTTCTTCCTCTGCACCGTTGCACCGCTACATAGATACAATAGAGTCCACACACTATACTGTCATAATTCTGAATTACTCTGCTATTCCTCTTGAAGGAATATTCAGAAAACAATTGTCTAAACTTTTCAAGTTCAGGACCATAGTCTTTCAATCCTTTTCCAAAACTGTCGAAAAATTCAAAAGTCTTTGTACCATGATCCACAAAAAATAGTAACCAATGAGTTCCTTTGGATATCGCTAAATCACTATTCATGATATAAATCTTGTCAATATGATTTGTATGTTGTGGTAATGTATCTCTTGCGAATACACCAGCAAATATTCTTTTTGTACAGCAATGTCCCGAAAGTATTCTTGTTATTTGACTTCCATCCATTTCAATCACTGTCTAAGTTTATTTTTCTTTCGTTGCGTCTTCTTCACAGTCTTTTTCACTGAAGACTTCCAAGTACGGTTACATGATCTTTTATTTCCTCGTCTACCACTATTTGCATCATCGTTGGAATAGAAATTATCAGCATCTGACATCGCCCGCTCAACAGTAGCCTGACTAGGAGATACTACAGTGATGTTTTTACCACCATATTGGCTAGATGCCTCTGGTAAAACTATGAATCTTCTTCCTCGTCCCACTTGATTAGTTTTGCCCTGCATGAAAGCTAGCCATTTATCACGGCTTGTATCTATTGGAACTAACTTCATTTTTATAATCCTCTTCGAAAATGTAGTGCACAACTCAAGTCACCCTGTTCAAATGACACACTTTCGCCAGTGTCAGTCTTTATATTTAGAACTATTCTGTCAAATGTTTTGAAGTCTAAAGGAACATAAATAGGTTTGTCAAAGTGATAGTATTGCTGGTCTTGAATGAGGTAGAGTCGCCTGAGAATAGGTTGGTAGAATCCGTTCGCTATAGATTCTTTAGCTAAATCACAAAATACATCCAATCGTTTCACATTAGCAGTGGCTAATGCAGGTAGTTGTATTTCGAGTAAACAAAATTGCCAATACCCCTCTAACTCTACATAACGTGGTAGTTTTACAGTGAAACTTTGGACAGCATTAAAAGGAAAACTATCTGTAGAATCTGAACTCTTGAGGTAAATACAAAACTCACTCTCCATCATTGCAGCATATGTTGCAAGCTTAAGTACTTGTCAGCAAATGAATAATGAAAATAATATTCATGTTTTTAAACAGATGGTAATACAATAAGCTAGAGAACACAACAAGTTTGTTGGCTATATACACAAATTTATTTATCAATTAAATCATATTATATACATCATATCAAGTTTTATAATGCTATGTACAATGTTATAAATTCCACATCGAACATTGATTTTACATTATAACGTTGCGAGCATAGTCCAATTGAAAGGAGTTCATAAATGTCCCCATCACTAAAACTGTAATATTCTTTTCCAATGGTTCGTCAAAGGTTCCTTCTATCCTTAGGTTACCAGTCTTTTGTACAGGTATGGCATCATCTTCATCTGAGTTTTGTATATTCATCAGATGAAAAAGAAATAATGTATATCCTTCTTGAAAGGTTTCGTAGCTAATATAATTATCCATGCCTGGTGCTAAGCCATCAGATAACTTCAGAAATTCCCGAGCGTATATGGAACCTTTAGAGTCATCAAACCGTGGTCTGTATGCTGTGCCAGGTTGATTAATATTATTCACTAGACACGTGATGTATCCACACTTGTAGTGACGAAATCGAAGGGGATTCAATTGGTATCCACCAGCAAACGATTCACCATCGACAAAACCAACCAGCACTGATGAGGGAGTTGATCCATTGTATATATTATCCAAAGTGAATGTGCGAGAACCTGCATTCAAGTTGAAAACTTTCATGTCATTGTTCTCATAGAAGTATCTAGCATTTTTGGATCTCAGCATGGCATCGTGACTCGCTACAATACCAGGGTTCACGTGAATGTGTGGTATTCTTAAATACACATCCTCAATGTTGAGTATGTAGTTTTCTGTAGTTGAAGGTGTCACCAAAACGAATGATGATTTGGAGGGAGTTAGTCGAATTTTCAACTCCAAATTAGGCATCAAGTAACGTCTCAATGACTCGAAACAGTCTTCCAAGATTACGCCTTCTAGATCGTAACTACGGGAACGCCTCATGAGATCATACCTTTGATACATCCCAAAGTTTTTCAGGTTGTTAACCTCTTTGGTTGACCAAAAGTCTGTATCTCTATGGTCACTAGTCATCCTTACATCGTCATAATATCCTTGTGCCTGCAGTCGAGACGTCTTAGGCCCTCTGCCATTCCTCAGCAATGTCTTGAGGTAGGCTTTGTATGGATACATATAGTTAGAAGACGTCGTAATCGTTTTCTGCTGTATCTGGCATTCAATATTGCTAAATGCCGAGTGCAGAATATTATTTATAGGTGCCACAAAATCACCTGTTTCACTCATCAATACAGCATCTTCAGCGTCCACAATTGGAGAGAAATCAGACTTTAAAATTTTTAATGTCAAATGCAATTTTATGTTTTTCATATCAATATAACGCATTGAATTATTGTTGATCGTGAAATCAATCGCTTCATTCTGTCTAATGGGATTCAATGGTCGGAAATCCACATATTGTACTCCTAACACAGAAGTATCGGTTGCCAACGGATCAAACAGCATGAGCTGAGAGTCCATCGCTTCTAATGTATCACCAACTGCATACATATCTGTAGCCATACTGTAATCATATACCAATGCAACTTACTTCATCAACGTGTGTAGTCAAATGACAGTTGATATCTAATGTAAGCTGGTTTTATAGGTTCTGTAAAGGGTCAAAGGTTGGAATAATTAAGAAATAAAATAGCCAAATGTGGTTTTAATAAAGGTTAGTAATCTAAATAAAACTTAATAATGTTAGGGGCTAGGGTTATTGACAACTTGTCATAGTACATGATTAGGGTTAGGGTTAATCCGCCTGAACTCGAAACTTAGGGTTGCCCGATCGTCTTGCTCAGGCAAGACTGTATGGTGTCAACAATATGGCTACTTTCACGTTTACTGCTATGATGTCATCCACTTGCCCAGGCAAAGTTAAAATAGATGAACTTCCGCTATTATGTTATAAACTTGCCAAGACCAAGTTAAAATGGTTGAGTTTCCGCTATGATGTCATGAACTTGCCCAGACTAAATCAAAAATGGCTAAACTTCCGTTTCCTGCGATGATGTCATCAACCTGCCCAGACAAAGTTAAAATGGCTGAACTTCCGCTATGATGTCATCAACTTGCCCAGACAGGATTCAAAATGGCCGACTTCCGGTCTGGTGCTGGCGCCGCACACACACACGTAGCATGAATTAAAGCATAGTAACTACTTACATATTTAACAGCCCGATAAGCAAAAAAGGTGGGTGGGGTGAAAAACAAACAAATAAAAGACTTTTGTATATTCAATTTCTATTAGGATTCATATTATTCAATAGTTTGAAATTAGCCAAAAGTTTGGCAACCTTAGGCATGGAGTGGGATCGTGTCACTTTGGGAAGACCCCGGAGCATGACATGTTAGATTTAGAAATAAACATTTTGTTAGTAAATTGTTTTAAACCAGTTCTGGTCCGATACGAAGACGCAGACCTGTATACTCCAAACGATTGTTTTTGTATCACAAAGAAGACCGGTGCTGTCATCATTTGCTGAGGAAAGCAAATTACATACTTGAAGGATTGTATCAAATAATTCAGACGGTTTAGATTTAGCTTATTATTCAATCGAGTTTATTTTCATAGTTGGAAAAATACATATAAAAATCATTAAAATATTATTATTCGAATAATGGCTAATTTTTTTCTCAAGACGTATGAACAAAATACGCTTCACATAAGAACAGTCACTTGTATTTATGAAAGGCTTTCTATTATGTTTTAATGACCCATATCAAAACGTTTTGATCTCATGCAATTATTCTGCTATTGGGATTTACAAGCTCTGGGGACTTCCCGAGAAATAGTTTTAACTTTTTTGAAACAAAACATTATATCGAGACGCACACATTTGAAATAACAGATATTTTCATAAGTAAGTTAATAAAACTATCCCGAATATTTCAAAAAGCCTTCCTGTAAACGTTGTAAAAAATTAAAATAGGACGACTGCCATTTTCAATAATCTTGTATTTGATCCGAACCGTGGCTTCTAACAAAATTCCTGCAAAGAATGATTGAATTGGCCATTGCTTGGGGTGCTTTATTTTGTCTGAAATGGAACACCTTTTAAATTTATAAATTGTGCGAAATAATTTATATTTGTAAAAATCAAGATTCAGAAACTTGACTTTATTTCCTATACCTCACAATTTTTCCTCGATTACAGTAGGTCGAGAATTGATGACTTAAGCTTAGATGAATATTTGAAAATCGTGCCTCATTCTCATGATTGCGAAATGATGGCTTCGGGGCAAATCAGATTTCAGGATATCTGTTCAGAAAAAGCATTCACCAAAAACAAATTGTCTTGTCATCTTTTAGCATGCTAAGTGTTTACATACAGTAGTTTACTCTGTGAACATAAAGCTACAGAGCTTCCGATAGTCATTTTTGAAAATAAATTTCGCCTCCTGTGTTATTCCAATCGGAGGAGATTTTTGAAAAATTATCACTATGGAAACCTATAACTCTTTCGAATGTAAAGAAAGATATTAATTTTTAATTGATTTTTCTTTACGCAAATACGAATTCAGACATAAAGAGGCCTGTTTACCGAGTAATCCAATTGGGAAGTTCGGGCTGTCAAACTTTTGGAGGGAGTGTAAATTATACATGTATAAATACAAAAATGCTTTTATGTGAGGAACCCTAATGGAGGGGGGGGGGGGGGGTGTTAATAATATAAAAAATAGAACCCCTGGTCACCAAATCCTGGCTACGCCATTGTAAGAAGGGAGAGTTATTCTGCATTTAAAACTTTTGAATGGCCTTCTTTAGATAATGTAGTTTACTTATCGTATCTTACCGACCACTTTAGATTGTGGTCGTACGCCCGATTCATTGGTAAGCCTGTCTTTCCAATGTCGGAGAATGAACTACGCATTGCACTATTAAATGACCTACCTCGATGCATTCCAGAGTATTTTAGAATACAAATATTGCTATCAAAAACGAAAATATCTTCGTTCTGCCGATAAACCCATACAATTGGCGATCTAACAACATAAAAAGAATTCTAAAATACTCTGGAATGTATCGAGGTTAATAGTGCAATGCGTAGTTCATTCTCCGACATGAGGGGATCTGGGAACGAACAAGGGGGGGGGCCCAATTTTCAGGTCAGAGAAAAAACGTCCCTAAAACCCAAAAGTGGGCCCACATTTTGAAATTTTGAGGCCCATTTTCTTCAAAATTTGGCCTGAAATTAAAAGTAAGGCCTTAAAAGGCCCAGTTATGACCAAAAAGGCCCACTTTTTGGGGCCTTAAGGCCTTTTTTGGCCCAAAATTTTTTTTGGACCCAATTTTTTTTTTCTGGGCCCACCCAAGGGGGGGGGGCCGGGCCCCCAGGCCCCCCCCCCCGTACCGCCAGTGGACATTGTAGAAAGACTGGCTTACCAATGAATCGGGCGTACGACCACAATCTAAAGGGGTCGTAGGATGCGATAAGTAGTTTACAACGTTTTCTTGCTGGTCCCTGGAGCTTTTCAACTGTATGAGGACATCAGCTTCATCACTATTGGGAGGGGCCCACCGAACAAGGTCGGAGAGATTACCTGCTCCGGACTGGCTTATTTGTAAGGGAAGAGAACATTTCCCGGGAAAATGAAAAGCTTCGATATTTTTTGTTTAGTGTAATTTAAATTGGCGCATGCGCAAAGTCCAACCGCGAAAATTTTAAAATGGATGAAGATGAAATGTCACTTGTATCTTGTTGTAGCAGGCGTTCTGTGAATGCATTGACTACAATAGTCGAAGAGCATATAGATGAAATCATAGAGCAGCACGTCGAAACAACAGATGAGCAGAAAAGTCGTTATAGACAGCGATTTCGAGAGGTAAAATTGTACTTCCGGTATATTTTTAACTTTTTTAAAGTTTTTATTTTTTTAAATTTTTAGCTTTCAACAAAGAGGACTGTTTTCATATGATTCCTTGGTTGTTAGGAAATTTTTTACATGAAATTTTCCAGTTTCATTGATGTAGCTCAAGAAAATCAGTACAAACTTCTGAACTTTTGAGTGAAAGAATATTAGCCTTCCGTATTATTGATGTAGGGAGAAGTGGTGTAACGGCGACACCATTTTGGGGCAACTTTGACTTGTGGGGTAACTTCAACACTTTCTTGTTTATTTGCTTTAATTTCCGATCAAGGGGAAACCATGTTTTTTTCTTGCATGGATCGAGTTACTCGAGTCTCTAGCCAACACTTGGCTAGAGGGGATTTCAACTGGAATACTGTGAACTCCATTTGAAAAAAGCTGGCCGCCGTGTCATAAATTTATTGAATATTTTAAAAATCGCCAGATAAATAAATCATTAATCAAAACGGACCTCGCTCGGCTCCTTGATGAGATATGACATGATTTCATCAGGATTTCGTCTAAAATTAAAACAAAATGGTTCCAAGAAAAATGGCAATGTTCGAAAACTGGACGAAATGTCGTTAACGTCTGACATTAGTAACTGGCTGTAAATTCTAAGTTAGCGATCCAGAAGATGTGAACTAATACACTGATCACTTTGTGTGTTTTGGAATTTTTGGTGAGGTAATAAGACCAAAACTCGCAATTTAAATTGTGATGTGGAAAAATGGCGGACATATGATTTCAAATTTTATGATTACAATATGACCAGTTGTTCATGCAGGAATATATCTTTACTGAAAGGTCACAATACAGTGGCCTTAGAAGAAGGTAAGGATCGAGATCTCGCGAGATTTTAATCTTTCCGGAAATCAAACATGGCGGAAAACGCAAATTCTACATCTATTGTGGAAGTGTTGAAGTTACCACGCCTCCCATGTCGACATTACCCCACACGTCGATGTTACACTTACACCCCTTTGCCCTAGATGTGATTAAAAAGCTATTCAGCATATCTTGGTGGAATGAAATAAACATCCCAATTTGATCGCTGGTATTTCTAAAATGGATGTTGTTTGTTACTCACGTTTGACTCAATGTTTTGCCAAAATATGCCCAAGAGCTGTTTACTGTGAATTTGAAGTGAAATATTATGATTTCGAGGAAATTCTGCCAGATTACATATGTTCAATCATCTGATTCGTCAGTGTTACCATACAGTTTCAACATGGTAATAAGAGGGGGTTAATAATTAGGGATGTGTTTTATTTCTTGTTTGGGGTCTAAAATTAGAAATTAAATATGGTTATAAAAGTTGAAATTATTGAGAAATTATTGGAACTATTTAACTGTACAAAATCAGCGAAAAAAGCATGAATATTAAAATTACAGTTCAGCTTTGGTAACTTACCAAATTAGTTAGAATCAGCACTCTCAAACATTATCTTGAAGAATTAGCTCAGATTTTTGCATGTTATTAAGATTCAAAATGTTTGCATGTATTGTTGAGGCACGAAGTGAGGATTCAAAATAGGTTTTGAAATGGTATCAATTAAGACTTACAGTCACTTACTGTTGATTGGGTTAATTTTGCGTTACTTATTTTGGTGATTTTGCCATTTTTATGTCACCACCAAAAAGTGGTGACATATTGTTATGCTCTCCGTTTTTTTCTTACAACTTCCATACTGTTGAGACTGACTTCAATTTTTTTCGAAATCAACTACCGTGTACATGTTTTCAGAAGTTCAAATCTGACTTGAGATTTGACCTTCAATGACCTTATCAAGGTCAAAAAGGTCTTTTTTCAACTTGCTTCAAACTGACAATTTTTAAAAAAAATCAAATCTGACTTTAGATTTGAGATTTCACCTTCAATAACCTCCTCAGGGTCAAAAAACTTGTTTCAAATTGACCATTTTTTCAAAATCATCTACAGAGTTCTCAGAAATTCAATTCAAATCTGACTTAAGTTTGAATAATGATATTGTGAGCAACTTGGTGGTGACATTTTGTCATATTAATGCCTTGTTTGTGACTGCGGTTGACATTTGGCATCTGTGACAAATGGCAGGTAGTGGCATTTTGCATGTTAATGCCTTGTTTCATATGCACTCATACAATTATCTGTATCAGCTTGGTTTTGTCAAGCATGAACCATCCTTTTAACATTATTATCATTCATTTCAGATCTTTGAAGCAGCCTATCATGAGAATGTCACAGTGGATAATACACCCTGGGCTGAATCTACATCGCAGGATGACATCACACCAGGTTAGAACTACAAGATTAACATAAATCCAAGTTATATTAATCTTGCAATCAGGTCACCCCTTTGTCTATTTTCAACCTAGGACCTAGGTGTGTAATGAGAATGGCACAAGGTACTTTCAAGATTAAAAATCATATATTTTAGAAAATATTAAGTTGAAATAATTATTTATCATGTTCCAAATGTTTCTGTTTCAATGAGAACTAACAATCCTTTCCCATGTGAAGCCTTAATAAAGAAAAACAGATAATCTAATATAAACAAAATTAATTTTTGTTTTTCATTTTTTCTTCACCATAGATTTTCTAAAGATTTTTGGACATGAACTAACATTTATTTGAAAATGTTTCAGTGTTTGACCCTGAGGATGTTGAAAAGAGGAAACATGTTGAAGAAGTCATGCAGATAGAGCTGGATGAAACACTGGTGAATGTTACAAAAAAGCGCAAATATATGCCCCGCCAGTGTATGTCACAATTAGCCAAACGTTGCCTTGCAGAATGTAATTATTATGTAAGTTTATTTTATCATGAATTTGAAAAGTTTGGGAAACAATTTTTCAAAGCAAAGGTTCATAAAAATCCTTAATTTCTTGCAATGAGTACCACTACCATTAAGTAAACATACAAAAATGATGTTCTGTTCATTTTTCTAACCAGTGGATTTTATTTAATTTCAGTAAAAATCATTTGTTGCATGCATTCTTTTACTAACTCCTCTATGACCTTAAGTTCCACTGTTTTAATGTTTTCTCATATTTTGTATTTTACTACATGACTTCCCTGGTTCATATTCTGTACTTAATTTAATTGATTTCATGTCGTGTAGAATGACATCCAAGCGGAGGTTACCAGCTCAATAACAACCACATCTACAGTACAAACGGATGACACATCAGCTGACAGGTTAAAGGAATGCGCTTCAGATTTGGCAAAATTGAAAAAGGTAAGATTTGGTATGTGAAAAGTTCACTCTACGGTAAGATAAGACTAAAAATGAAGAAAACGGTTTATGAGACCTTATTTTAAATAACAGGTATAGAGATTTACAGTGATGGTATGTTGATTCGTTATATAGCTTTTGTTGTACAAGGCATGGAGAAAGCTGGTTGTTGTTGTCTTATTGCTACTGTGGCTGTTTTTGCCAAATTCCCCAGTAATTTTAATACCACGTAAATTAGTACCATAAGTGCATTGTAGTATTGCAAGTCCGCCAAATTAAGTAGCCACCAAATGTTCAAAACAGCAAATCCGCCAAAATAAGTGGCGCCAAATTAAGTAGAAGTACAGTATATTGTTTAAATTATTTGAATTAAGAGTAAAATTAATGACACTGGAGTTTGTACAATCATTCATGGCCGCTAGTATGTCAATAACGCAGACCCTTACAGCATCACTTACCCCCTACTTAGTCTATGGAATGAAGATCCAAGACTTGCTAGAGCATCAGGCTGAAGATCTCTTGTAAAGATGGGTGTAAAAAATTCAATTTCTTGGAGCACCCACCTAATACCTTTGTTATATAATATCCTTTTTATTGCATTTTCAGGATGTGCCATCAACAATTGACAAAATTTCACGATTGGAAGATGCAAGAATAGTATCCAGTAGAGTTCAAACTTCAACGGATAATGTGATATTCAACCCGATTCCTGGTGAAACAAAAATGGCAGACTCTGTTACGCCATTACGAAATCAAATTGAACAGACAATAGCCCCTCCACCACCTAAAAAATTGAGACCTGACCAAAATAGTCATGTTGCAACACAAGCCATCAAAACACGGAGAATTATTGATGGTTCAGGATATGTTGTAGATCAATGATCTATGGAATGTTTTTTACAGTTTTATTAATGTTTTGTATACAAAAAGAGCAGTGTCTGTAATTCTTATTATCCTAAATAGCCCCATTGATTTGTAAAGTTGGTCAAAACATTTTTCATGATTTTCAAGTGATTCCAAATGCCTTTTCTGTGGGTGCAACCTTCTCAATACCTAAAGTAGGTGCAGCGTCCAGTAGTGCTTCAGTATTAGGGATATTGCTTATCTTCATGTATGATTATGTCAGTATGAATAGACTTACCAGTGGTAATATATAATAAATCACTATCAATGAACATTGCATCAAAACTTTCGGTATCTAGTGACATAACCAGTCCAGGGAATTTTTTTAATTCTATTTTCGGTGAATACCTATGGCATTTTCACAAGATGATATTCAGGCTTTGTGGAAAAGATACACAGTTTTTTTTCCAAATATACAATGAAATATTTGTATATTGTTTGTATATTATAACTGCTTGAAAATACGGCTTATGATATAGAATGAATTATTTAGAAACTTTTGCATAGAACTATTATACTTTATTGTTAAGAATGCATTTTTAGCTCATATGGTTGAGCTATTGTAATCCCACTTGTCTGTACATCTGTCTGTCAACACATTGGTAGCTTATTCAAAATCCTCTGCAACAATTGAAATGGTTTCACTTTTAAAATGTGTCTTTTGAAAGTCTACATTTGTACTGTAAGTGGCTTCTCAAAAGGTTGCCTTGGTGGTTATTTATTGTGGAAAGATCAGGTTTTCAGCTTTTTTTGGTCATAACTCTAAAAGTATTTCATCAGTTTGCTTGAAATTATACAGGTATCTAAATTATTATGAATAATGTCTTCAAGTTTTGGCAAAATATGTTGCATTAAGATTCAAAATGCCCATCATTTTTCTTGTTGAAAAGTCAATTTTTGGTCATAACTCAACAAGTTTTCAATCAATTTGGGTGAAATTGTACAAGAACCTTAATTCATAGGTAATATTGTCTACAAGTTTCAGCAAAACATGTAGCAAAGATTCAAATTGGCCATCATTTTTATTGTTGAAATATAACTTTTTATTATGTTATAAATTCAAAAGTTGTATATTGTTTCGCTTGAAATTTTACAGGCAGCGTTCAGTGAAACCTGTTAAGTCATGTAAGTGGAACACCTCTAGAAGTTGAACACTTTTCAGAGTCCAAGGAACCAATGTTAAATGTACCTCTACAAGTGGAATACTTTTTAGAAGTATGCCAAAGGTGTTCCACTTATAGATAGGTTTTACTGTATACTGGAGTCAGTAATATCACAAGAACATTGGCAAAATATCTTGTAAAATTTGAAAATGGTCGCTATTTTTCAGCCATGTTTTTAAATCTTTTTTTGTCATAACTTCATAACTATTCAGTCAACTGGCTTGAAACTAGCTTGTACCTTCTATTATAAGTAAAAAATGATGTCTAAATTTTTCTACAAAGTGATTCAAAATGGACATCATTTTTATATATAAAATATCACTTTTTATATGTAATAAATCCAAAAGTGTTCGATATCCTTGATTCTACAGACAGCTAAGTGTATAGGTCAACAATAATATCTAAAATGCACTTTCACCAATTGAGCCCAGTACCCATGGTACTATTTTTTAACATTTACGTGTAAGCTACCAATGTTTATCTTTACATAAATTTTGGTGGCTCTTCCTAATGCAATTTTAGTGATTTTGGATAAAATAATACAAAAATAATGTCTTCAGGGCTTGTATTGTAGAAGGGCAGAATGTCATGCAACATTTTCCTGTGAATCCAATCTCCATTAAAATATAAAATGACATACTCAACTGTATTTGATTTGTATTTTATTATGAATTTATTGTACAGCAAATTATTGTAAATAACGGGTATGCATAGATGATTGTACATAGAAATTACAATACATTTGTTTTGTTTTGATTAAGATTACAGAACACAATATGATAATCTGAGTATAAATTCCCAAACCTCGTATCGTATAATCTCTATATATTCTAGTTTCATTGATAAGCCTTAATCTATAGTCCATATAAACAGATCAATCTGTAACTTAACTGATGAATGAAATGTCAACTTCTGGGTGATGCACTTTCGAATCAGCTATTAGGTTTAGAGAGGATTTTCAGTGTATTTTGTATCCATGAAATGTGGCAGTTCCTTCTAAAATAGTCAATGGTGAATCTGAGGATGCATTGTGTCATGTTTTTGCTTTAAAGATCTGGGATGTGGCTAATTTCAACGCTGGCCATAAGGATAAAATGTTCATTTTATACCATTCTCTGAAAACAGAAATACACATGAATGAATAACATTTAATTCAGTATTATTTCAAAAATGCTTTTTTAGTGTTTTATAAGATTAAAAACAAGGGCTCAAAAATGGCTCATAAAATACTTTCATAGTTATGTTACATTTGTAAAACAACAAATAAACAAAAATTCAAATCTCATTATAGGCTATTATGACACATTTACTTACTTATTATATCTTATGTGTTTATTTCTATTTTCTATTGAGAATTCTCTATAAAAATCTGCCATCTCATCCGGTGACAAGTTTCTTTTTGTCCCATCATCGTGAAAATGTCCGAGTTGATCTAATTTGGCGGCGACATATTCTTTTTTGGCCTAAAAAATAATTATTAAACGTTAATACAGTGAAACATGTGTAAGAAGAACTCCCTTGATCAATATTGTTCCACTATAGGAGGTAATCTACTTCAATAAGTTTATTTTACATAAGTTAATAGGCAACTGGTACAAAGGAAACAGCAGAATAAAACCCATATTCAATCCCTCTTGGTAAATAATAAAAAATAATTTATGCATACCTTACGGTATAAATTATTATGATTTTCCCAGAAATCTTGATTCCATTGTTGGATTTCTTCCATGCGCTCCCTAAAAGCACGTTCACTAGCAGTTTCATTCTCTGGTACATGGAACTTGACATGTCGGAGATTTGATTTTACATCAGGTGGTCCGATCTGATCTCTTCTTTCAGTTTTTGGAGATTTTCTAGACAGCTGAATTTGATCAGTCTAAAAGAAACAAAATTTTGCAAGGTTAGAAAGAAATCTATTCTGAAGTTTATTTGTACATTTCAGTTTAATCAGTTTTTTTAAAAAAATAAATGGGATCAATACGTCCGCACATTCAAATATTAAAGGCCGCAACCCCCGCCACAGCCACACATTCTATTTACCATACTACAAACAATCAAAGATATACAAATGTCATTCGTGTATACTAGTCTTAGTAACACTAGCAGATCTAGACAGGGCCCTCCCCCTAAAAAGTCAGAATTTTAACTGGAAATCAAAATAGATGCTTAAGGTGCCGTGGTACTTAACAGAAAATGACAAAACAGGAAGTGACAAAACCATGCTAGATTTTAAACATTTTTTGAACCAAGATAACAGAGTTCTGTTTTGACCTCCAGTCAGTTTAACTAGTTGTACATATCATTTACATGACCAGGATCACAATGTACATGGTCAGAATGACCCTAAACATGATAAAATAACTTTTTCAGCCCTCTAAAAAGGTGACTGAAAAAAAGCTAAATTTTCAAAGATTGTATCATTTAGAGCACCTGACCCTACTATCACACCAAACTAGTTCTCACTACGTTCTCGAAAACAGGCTTCAACTGTGTACTAACGGACTGGACGTACTTAGAACAGTTTGGGGTCTATTTACAAACTTCATCGAACATACTCAAACAGGTAGGTCCTCTAGAACTTAGAACATGCTCAAAATGTTCTCTTGGTCGTCACGTTCTACAATTAGAACGAGTGACAACCTACTAATGATGAGCTGGACGTACTACGAACGGAACCATCGTACTTCAATCCTACTAGGGACATTTATACAACGAGTTGAACTGTCTGAGGATGTATTGAGAACGAGGTAGAACTAATTGCAAACGGGTTAAAACTGATTAAGAACGTATTTATCTACGTGTTAGCAAAAATATAGCTATCACACCAAGCAAGTTGCCACTGCGTTCTTCAAAACTGGTTTTAAACGGAATGAATAAGCTACAACGTTCTACGGTCTGTTTACGAAAGTCATGGACTTTCCAGGACGGGGAATGTGATTTAGAATTTTGAATCGATTCAAAATTCGATGGTGACCATACCGTTCTGTAATCAGGTCATGGTGACCTTCTAGACTAAGGGACGCGTTATACGACGTTGCACACCGACGTCGTGCGACCTGAACGAACTGCGAATGAGATGGACGTATTGAAGACTGTACAAAGAAGCTAATTATTCTAGACATTTTTCCTGACCACAGCCAGATTGAGCCCATTTTACGACGTTTTCGTATGACTGGCAAGAACAGGTAAGAATTAGTTTGGTGTAATAGGGGGTTATGGTTAATGGATTCAGGCCTGTCAACTGTCCCGCAATTTGCGTATTTGTCACGCATTTGCTGAAGAATTTGAAGTCACGCCAGTTTTTTGTGCGTGACAGAAAATGTCACGCAAAATACGCATTTTACCTGGCAATTGTCAAGCAAAAATATTTCTGTAGAAATTTTTTCGAAATATGTTTACGATACGGTAAAAATACGAACGTCGTAAAAAACCGAACGCAATTTGTTCTGATTTGTCACGCGAATCCCGTATGTGTCACGCATGTTCATTGGAAATTTTTCGTACCTACCCCCCCCCCCCCCCCCCCCCCCCCCCGTTGGCGACAACGCGAGCGTAGCGAGCGCGAAAAATTTGAGGTGCTCAAAGTTTGGCAAAGGTGCTCAAACTTTGACCAATTGTTTAAAAGTTGGCCAAAGGTGTTCAAATTTTGGACAAAAGTGTTCAGATTTGGACTTAGGTGTCCAACATTTTGAAGTCACTCATATTAGGTGGTCCCAAGTTGACAGCCCTGTGGATTGTCAATAATGCATTGCATACGCTGAAATGCTCCCCTATTCTCACACTTATTCGCTGCGCAAACCGCAAACAGCCTATCTTACACAAAATCCTGGATCCGCCCCTGAGTATTAAGAATTATATTTTTCATATAATTACAACACTGTGGTCTTTTGACTACCTAAGAGCTAGACCTAAGACTAAGAGGTTGACGAAAATAAAACATTGATTGGACATTAGGTTTCTGTAGACTAGTAAACATAAGAATACTGACCTTTGGTTGTCTATCACAATATGATCTACAAATCTGCACATTCACAACACCGTGTGTTTTATTATAACAGGTTAGCAAGACCCTCCTAAGATACAGATTGTGCATCTTTTCCTTGAAATATTCTCAAAAATCAAACAGGAAGTTATAGGAAAGGGTAAAATTTTGGGGAAGCTACTCGTTAGAAAATTCGCGGATCGATCATTTTGTTCACATATATCATCCTGTTGCTCCAGCTACATTCCTGTGCATTAGTCAGTCTTACAAATGGTCCTTTAAGACAACTTAACTTTGAAATAATTCAACTGTGCTCCAGTGTTTTGCCTTGCCTCACAGTGTATCCGGCATGTTTCTCAAATTGAGAGGTGGTTGGGGGAGGGGGATTGCTGCTGTCAGATCAGTAAGCCTTTCAAAAATGTAAATCAGAACCTTGCATACCTTTTTTTCAGAGCCCTTGTTCTTAAGGTGGTTTTTTACTGGCAATAGGTGGCTCCATGGAATTATTTGATGAGTGAATAATTTTAGAATTGCTGCCTGAGATGGTTCAGCGTCAGGCAGCAAGGTTTGTAACCAAACAGTACTCTAGGGAGCCAGGAACCATCACCAACATTTACAAAGATCTGGAATGGAAACCACTTGAAAACCGAAGACAAACCAAGAGACTCACCCTATTACATAAAGCCCTTCATAATGAAATAGCAATACCCATTCCCCCCTACATCGAGAAATCTAATAGAACTGGCAGAAGAGCCCAACAATTCATCCCTCCCTTTGCCAGAACTGATACCTACAAGAATAGCTTCTTTCCCAGAACAATAACAGATTGGAACAACCTCTCTTCCACAACCAGGATGATAGAAGACAGTACTGCCTTCCGTGATGCCCTGGTATCTAGTATGCAGGGTTAGCTCATGACACGAGACCTGTTTTTAGACAGTATTTTAATTGTACATACTGCCATTTTAGACTTTTAGCTTGGATGACTTCCAAAACTAATTGTGTTGCTCTATAAAGAGCTTTAATTAGTATAACGATAGATGTAGATGTAGAACATATCAATTTTGTGATATCGCATGATGTCCTGAATTGTCATTTTAAAATAAAAATATAAACACTATCACCTCTGGGTAATCCATTCACTTTATTTTAAACTAGGCTAATGTCGTTTTGAAATACATTATACATGCAATAAAATACTATAAGATCAAAGCTTTGACATGTTTGAGTAGTTTTAAATTCTTTACACCACAAAACATAAGATATTTTTTCCATTGATGCCAAATGCTATATGGTATTAGGATTTCACTTTGTCTTCAAGGTCTTCATAAATGTACCTTCAATACAAATCAAAATCGGAAGCAATACATATTCTCAATCAATATGAAATTTGAGAAAATTGGCCACCTTTGTGAAAATCACAAAAATACAGTTATTTTGGCTGTTCTATTAGTTTGCCTCCCATTTATACCCCATGTCCTTCTTTAAGGTTGTTGTCCTGTCAATAAAAATAACATAAATTGTGATTATAGATGGTTCGTTTTATTACATATTAGTATTCACTTTTTATACTGCATATTCCAATATTGTACAGTGTACAGGTATTTTAAGGCTATCAAGTCTATTCAGTAGTTCTCTTTATCTCCATACCCATATCAAATAAATCGTAGAAAATATTGCTATCATGTCTAATTATTGGCACAAATGTTCCAAAGCCAAATTTTATGCATGACCAATGATCACATTAATATGTTTCCACTGAGCTGAACTGCCTCCTGTAATAATGCAAATGTTCCGCAACTCCTGATTCATTTTTCTCAATGACTAAATTTTGCTCATGCAAATAATTTAGTTCAAATTTTGTTCCCTTGTGGCTTGTCACCCTGTTCCTCTCTGATTTCTCTGTTTTCAACTCTTCTCTCCAGTTTTCTCTTGATGTTTGCGTTTACATTGTGTAACTCTACACCCATCTTCCTCGCAGCTGTCTGGAATACAAAAAATTTATGGATTACATTCACTATAAAAGGCACAATCAGTAAGCAAGGAAAATTTTGGTTGCCCTATGTATTTTCATTTTGAAAGGTGTGATCCGTATTTATACTTGTCTACATGTACTATTCCAACCGTCAAATCACATCACTTATATTCTAAAAGTTTGAACTTGTTGACAAATATGGCAAAATCTAGAGAATTCGAAAAGGTTTAATGATGTATCATAGGTATGTTTAACTCCGCCAGAATCTTTTTTATATCATATATGTATCCATCTTTTGAGATAGGCAGAGTGCAACATGCAACTAGATTACTCTTTCTTCTAGGCCTGCAGACTGACAGTCCACCTTGGGAGAGGTCAACAAATATATACTGTACCTCAATCTGCCAGACTAGATCTACGTCCCACTTGTAAGTGACGTAACTAACAACAAATCCTGGTGTTTTGCTACCAACTCTACCGACTCTTCCAGCTCTATGGATGTAATCAGACATATTGGTGGGAAAGTCATAGTTTATAACATGACTAGCCTGGAACACAACAAGATATGCAAATCAATTTGTAGATATTCCATACTTTTTAATATATTATTACACTGTCAAGTTATTTGTCTGGTAAGGAGACGCCTAATAAGAACCTATTGTCACATCTGGTAAGGTGACCAATTTTTTTCGCAGACCTTAGTGAAAATTAATTTCAGATCTAAATACTAGTTTATAATTGTTACAAGTTACACATAACAACATGCAGAGACAACTTACAGAGAT